ATTATATAATTGCTTAAATAACAATATTACTTTCAATTAACAACATTAAACGTTCGGCATAACAACAGAGACGTGCATCATCACGCTCTCGACATACACTAAAACAAGTTAACGACATAACCTCACAAAATAATAGTAATAATAATAATAGTGATAGTAATAATAATAATAATAATAATAGTGATAGTAATAATAATAATAATAATAATAGTGATAGTAATAATAATAATAATAATAATAGTGATAGTAATAATAATAATAATCTATCACAGCTCGGCCGTCCTGACCTATCCCAGCCCCTGGGATTAATACATAAGTAAATAACAAAGTTTTAATACATAATACAATATACAAATACTAGCAACTTAATACATCATAATTCAAAATACAAAAATAAAATAATAACAGATTAATACATATTACAAATACTAGAAACTTAATACATCATAATTCAAAATACAAAAATAAAATAACAATAGATTAATGCATCAACTGTTCTGCCTAGTAACACATTCTAATAATTATATATTTACCCCTCTAACCCAATGTCTCATATTATCAGAACTAATCACACCCTCATAAGGTACCTGAGTATGTTGGAAACCCTCAATGTCTTTTACTATAAACCTATCATTTGGTAACACCTTATCAACTATATATGGACCTTTAAACTTGGGTATTAGTTTTTTATTTACACCCACACTTACATCTGTATTTTTTATCATAACAAACTCTCCTTTTTTATACAAGGTAGGCTTTTTATGTTTCTCATCATAGTATGTTTTACTATATGATTGACTTTTTGATATATTATCTTCAGCTTCCCTCCTCATTTCCTCCAAATTCCTGTCTTTATCAACTTCTAACAACAACCTCCTGAACTCATACTCCATTGTACCACCTTGATGTACTCCAAACAATAATTTAGACGGAGCCTCACCCGTCGATGCACATGACATATTGTTCAACGCATACTCCACCTCATCCAACTCTCTGTCCCACTTATTTAAGGCTACTGTCTTTTTCGCCAACATTGCAGTTATACAACGGTTCACTCTTTCGACTTGCCCATTCGCCCGAGGTGTTGCAGTTGCCACTAGTACCAAGTCTATCCTTCTCTGAGTTAGGAATTCCTTAAATGCATTGGATGTGAAAGCTGCACCTCTGTCTGACACTACCCGTCTTGGTTTACTATAACATCTAAAGTAGTCACTCATATGTTTAGTTACTTCCACCGTGTTAGTAGTTTTACAGGGGTATAATCTAACAAACTTTGTAAATGCATCAATTATAACAAACAAATATTTATTCTTCTTACCAGTCTTTTCAAGCGGACCATAATGGTCAATATGAATTGTATCAAACGGTATTGGAGTCTTAGGAATAGGGTGCAGCTCACCCTCCCTTTTACCAGAAACTGGGGAATATGAAATACATTTCAAGCAATTTGAAATAAAATTTTTATCTTTTTCCCTTAAATTAGGAAACCAAAAAGTTCTCAAAATCACTTCGCTCGTTTTCTCCATCCCCAAATGACCATATTCTTCATGCGCAGACCTTATTACATTGGCTTCCATACTACTTGGGACATAAAATAATAGTTCACCTTTTTATTTCCTATATACTAAGCCATTCCTCATTTCAAAGTACTTATCCTCTGACTTACTCAACCTCTCTTTTAACTTGCCAATATCTCTATCCTCAATTTGTTTGATTGACAATGTTTGCTCAAAAGTATTTTCAGTTAATACTAATATATTGGTATTCCGGCTTAACGCATCAACATGTTTCATCTTACTACCCGCACGATGTTCAATACTAAAATCATAGTTTTGGAATAATAACGCCCATCTTGCTATCCTGGGATTCAAATCTTTTTTGTTCATTGTCAACTTAAAACTCTCACAATCAGTGAACACTTTAAACTTAATCCCATTTAGGTAAACATGAAAACGTTTTACAGCATACACTAATGCCAAACATTCCAACTCATAACTATGATACTTAGCTTCAACCTCAGTGGTTCGCTTACTATAATAAAACACAGGGTGCATTAAACCATCTTCCTGTTTCTGTAATAGTATTACACCATAACCTAAAGCACTAGCATCGCAGTGTATCTCTGTCTCAGCCTTCGGCGAATATAATGCCAGAATTGGCATTTGTACTAACTTATTTTTCAATAGTTCAAAGACCTGTAACTCTTTCTCTCCAAACTTAAATTGAGCTCCCTTTTTCAACAGTGCATACAATGGTGCTGCCAAAATGGAAAAATTTTCAATAAACCTTCTAAAATAACTGACCAGTCCTATAAAACTGTGTACATTGGCTATTGACTTAGGAATTGGGAACTGTGTCACTGCTGCTACATTAGCCGGATCAGGTCTTACTCCCTCCCTATCAACCACATAGCCCAAATATGTTATCCTTGACTGAAGAAAAAAACATTTATCTTCTCTCAACTCAAGCAAATTGTTATTACATGCCATTAATACACATTCTATTATCTCCAAATTTTCTTCTATGGTTTCTGTGGCTATCAGTAAATCATCCAAATATACCAATAACCTTCCAGATCTTATTAACTCTTTAAATACCGTTTCAATAAATCTCATAAACGCTGAAGGACTATTACAATAACCAAACGGTAATCGCACATACTCATACTGTCCTAAAAATGTTGAAAATGAAAGATACTTGGACGACTGCTCAGATACTCTAACATGAAAATATGCATTTTTTAAATCCAACTTGGTAAAGAATATTTTTCCCCTTAACTTGTCCAACAAATCATCTATATGAGGAATCGGATAGTGCTCCTTTACTACCCTTTTATTTAACTCTCTCAAATCAGCACACATACGATATGTCTTGTCTTTCTTTTTCACCAAAACTATGGGTGAACAAAATTCAGACTTGCTTTCCTTAATAATGCCCTGATCTAACAACTCACAAATTATATCCTTCACCGCATCCCTCTCCGCATACGACAATCTTCGAGGTCTGTAATTAAAAGGAGTATGGTCTTTCAAGCTTATGTTAACCTCATAGCTTAATTCTGGGGCCTCCGGTTTCAAAGCTTTTTTGTAACAATTATTATACACTTCCATCAGTTTACATTTATCCATAAGCGGGACCTCACCTACATTTAATTCAACATCATCTCCAACCTCATACTCGATTAATCCTAGATTATCCAGAAAGTCATTATCCTTACCTATTCCATATTTTGTATTTACTGTCATCCTACCAGCTTCACCAAACCAAATATCCATCCCTTTAATAAAATCTCTACCCAGCAAACACTCAGCTGACATGGTTTGATTATCTACCACATAAAATACTTGTTCCTTACTTATATTGTAATCGACTAATGAGACTGTAGTATTAGCGACTGCCTCAATATTCAATTGTGATCCATTAATACCAGAAATGAAAATGTCTTTTTTTAAAGGTTGTCTGTTACTAGTTTTAACAATATGAGACTTGATCAAAGAAATCGGACTACCACTATCTATTACAGCATCGATTATACAACTATCATCGCCCACTTGAACACTTACCCTTACATAATACGCCGGCTCCAATAATCTAATTTCTCCTGATGCTCCGGTACACCTTTGCTCGTTCTGCCCTTGCAAGGATGCAAGTAAGGAAGGACATCCTTGCTTGTTTTCTCACGTTCTGGGCAAGTAGACCGTTGATGTCTCGTGGAACCACATCCATAACATGCTCCCTTTGGCCTGGCTGGAACTGGACAACTTGGTGCGATGTGCGCTCTGGACCCGCAGTTAAAACATATGCGATTCGTTGACATCAACACACCCTTTTGACTTGCTCCACTTACACTTTCTGCTTGTTGTTTAGAACCTTCCACCTTGGGTATCGGCTTTTCATTTGAACTTGAAAAAAAAGGTTTACTCTGAAACCGTCCACTCCTCTGCTCTACTATACGTGAGTAGTCCATGATATCAAACAACAATTCATCTTCATCGTTATGTGTACGACTTAACAAATGCTGGAACAATTCTTTCGATTGGACACCCTCTAAAAACTGTTCCTTTGTATTAAAGAAATCCAGTTCCAGATCTCGGCACAACCGAATTTTCTCGTGGTAGTAATTCAAAATGCTTTCGTTCCTGCTTTGCACACGAGCTGTCAACGCTTTCCATCGACTGCCAATATTAACGTTTCTTACAAACGTCGATTTAAATTGTTTTTCGAATTCTGTCCATGAGACAAATTTCCGACCAATATACCACTGTCGTGCTGGCCCATCTACATTCACTCTCGCCGCCTCCAACTTGAGTGCGTCGGACCAACAATGTAATTCTGCCACTCCACATAGCGTGCTCAACCAGTCAGCAGCCTCATGTGGTTTACACTTTCCGTTGAACGTAGGCAACGTTTTAGACAAATCGGGAGGAACGTACACCTCCGCCGGTTGTTTACCCTTCTGTGCTAACATGCTCATCAGCATCTCATTCTGCTTGATCAATGTTTGCACCAACAGCGCATTCTGGTCTTCCTTCTCGACCTTCTTACTGTCGTCCTGGCCGAGGACAACTTTCATTACTTCCTGTTTGGTGTATTCCGTCTCATCACCGACATTTCCATCCGAACCAATCGAGACACTCATCGTGAATATTGCCCGAATCCCACTTCTGATGTAAGAAATGTACCATTAATCTTTAATAAACATTCTCTTTAATTATATAATTGCTTAAATAACAATATTACTTTCAATTAACAACATTAAACGTTCGGCATAATAACAGAGACGTGCATCATCACGCTCTCGACATACACTAAAACAAGTTAACGACATAATCTCACAAAATAATAGTAATAATAATAATAGTGATAGTAATAATAATAATAATAATAGTGATAGTAATAATAATAATAATAATAATAGTGATAGTAATAATAATAATAATCTATCACAATGTATAGGTATTTAAATCTTATAATAATGTAAATAAAATAACTAAAGACGTTTACCTTTTAATTCTGGTCTCACTTTGAGCCAACCATGGACTTATGAATTCTATAATACCAGCTTTTGTAGTAGGAAATTTCTGTTGTATAGCACCTAATAAAAAATATAAAACAATAATATATGATATTATAAAATAATGCACCTAATACACAATACAAGAAATACATTTGATTTGTAAACAAGCTTCTCTAAGACTTTGAATATTTTATTATAAAAGTGTGTGATTTACTACAATAGACATAATAACATTAACAACTCTATTCAAAATTACTGTTTATTACTGTTAGGTTAAATTAACAATTTTGTATGTAATTTAAGGATGTAAACCTTATTCACAAATATTAAAATTGTAAATAATAAAAAAACTAATATGAATTTGCCTACTTATTATAACTTTGTGAATTGGGCTTGCTTCAAGACTTTTTTTTTTTTGTCCCTTCCAACTATAATCTGCTATAAATTCATCCGAAAACATTATTCTCATTGTCAAAGTTGTCATTTTAGATAAACTCTTTATACCTCCAATGGTAAATGCAATTGTGGACACCTATTAAGTTGATTGTACATTATTAATACATGGTATATATTATATTTTTTTTAAATACAGAAAATATAATTTTATTAAAAGATATCACAAAACTATTTTTTTTTTTTAAATTTAAGTTTGTTGGTGTATGAAAATTGGTAAATATTCAAAGTTAAAAAAGTGATTATTTATCGAGATAATAAGTCGCTGAATAGCCGAGTGACACCATAGACCTGATGAGTGAGTAGCCGCCTATGTTTTATGTGTAAAAGTATTTTGATTTACATAATGACAATGGTTTTAATAACTTACAAAAATATTTCAGGACTTTTTTTTTCATAAGCCTAATGTGCTTAAGATGATAGTTTGATTTAAAATTTAATATATATTGTTGTGTATACATATTATTATAAATTACAATTAAGTACATTATTGAATTCGCAACTCGTATCATATTGCCGTATTATAAACCATATTGTACAAAATTTAATATAATAGTTTTATCAGCTATAGGTACTATGGAAATACTAGAAAGTATATTAAAATTATAATCACACCAGAGTCATAAACACAAAAAACACTTAAGTTTACATAAAAAAATATTATCTTTAATGATTGAAACTGTTGTATTAATCTAGACAATTTTACATGTAACACATACTCCGCCGTTCAGATACTTTGGCCCTATGACGTATGCATATTTTCAAACGCCTAGAACTCATCGAATAATTAGTGTTAAAGTGGGAGACCCACACCACATTTCTTAGATAATGACAACTTTAAACCCTTTTTTTTTCACTGGTATCGAGGACCGGAGCGAGAACCTCATCACTTTCGCTCCGGCCTACATACTTTAGACCTAAGCAAACTTGATTTTAGTGTTGTGACATCCTTTAATATAGGTATAATGAAATTATATTATTTAGGAGAGAATTTTTATTTAGCTACTATTTCTTTTTTTATATATATATTTTGTTTCCACTTAGAAATTGGTTTTTAATAATATGCACTAACCTTGCACTAACCCTATTAATTTAAAAGAAAATATGTAATATAATATTAAAACAAATTATATTACATAATTTAACTAATACTATTATGTATTAGTTAATAATTTAATGAATAGAAAATAATATAAAGTTAACTATACTAGCTATCTTTAACATTTCATAATTACCAGTTTATGAAAATAGTCAACATCTTCAAGTTTTTTTTCTAACATTTTAAGATCATCTTCACTCTTTATTGGAAATATATTGTCCATTTCATAATTAGATACCTACTACTACAGTTTTTTTATCATCACTTGTGTCCTTATCAATGAGATGATGTTTAATATAAGAAACAGTATTTCTTAATTTCATAATATCGGCTGCAATAATGGTATAATTAAAATTAATAACTTTAATAATAATCAGCTAACAATTTAAAAATTTTAACTCACCAGAAATGAAACACAGGTCAGATAAAGAGCATCGATATTCGTTTTTACTATAACGTGTAGGTACCTATTAATGGACATACAGGTTTAGAAAACTTATCACTATCGACTGCAGTACACATAATAGCACTAGAAGTTGAGCTTGAAGTAGAAGGTGACAACGTTGTTATTGAATTAAATGTCCTCTTTGTAGCAGATTTCAACAATTTAGGCGGAGGAGTAGGCAACTGACGTTCAAAGTTGGTTGGTAAACTGGCTTTTCGTTCTGGGATTTCAGTAGAACCAGTCAAAGGATGTATATTATCATTATTGTCCTCGTTATTATCCATAGCACTATCCTCATCGCTACTACTTATATTTTGAAAAAGTAGCCTTGATGAAGTTGTTTTATTTCGGCAACCTTTACCTCTCAATTCAAATTTTGAATCTAAATTTGACTCACTTTGTTTTTTATTTGCTTTTATCATAATTTTGTATCATGTCTCATAATCACCTATAAGAATAAAATATTAATTTAAATATAAGGTTTATATTTCTTAATTTTAATATAGGTATAATTTAAATATTATATTATATGGGTTAATAATACTAGTCATGGCACAAAAATAACACTGCCTATAAAATATAGACAATGCTTATTTTGTATATTTTATTTTGAATATTGTAGTAATCAGAACAAAGTAAATTGATTAATAACAAAACAAATTTCTTACTAAATTAATTATAAAAATTATACTTACTAATATCTTGTTCAATAATAACCATACTGTTGAGTACAGAGTGATAACCCGCCGCCTGAACTATACGGCTTCAAAGACGGTCGACATAGCGGTCTATGATCGGCGGCGTCGTCTTCGAACTGTGGAACATGCACGTCGTTTTGAGCTGTGTCTCGTGCGGTTTTGCGCTTTGTACGCAACATAGTGGTGATTCTCACAGTACAAACAGAGTCGGACTGGCCCGGACCGCTAGTCCGCAATTGCGGACGGGGCCCTGGCTTAATTATGGTAATTGGAGGCCCCTGATTTTGTACCTATTAATATTATTATTATTCGTTTAGAGTAAATAGAAACACGAAATAAACATTTTTTTTTCAAATCAGGAAACGTATTTTTGTTTACAATCTTGAGACGTTCTTAATGAATATTAAAATAATGAAATATGAAAGGAAAACATTTAAATAATGGCCTTATATCATTATCATTCTACGAATTTAATAGCTGTCCAGTGTCTATATACAAATATGTATCATTGATTATGAATAGTGTAAAATTGTTGTGACTATTAAATAATATTATATTATATTTATACGGGCTTATGAGTATGACTTGGTAACACAGATATATATAATATATCTCTGCTTAGTAATTGGTATTATTTAGCATTATCACTGATTTTAACTGAATTATTATATTTTGGATAAGTATTGTGTCGTGCACAATTTGACACAATTTGAATTGGTGTTTGTCTTTATAATGTCTGATGTCACAGAACATGGTGTAGCCAATATAAGGGCTACGCCCCAGTGGCTTAGTTTGGGGGGTTGGATAGGAGGGATTTCCCCTGTCTGATAACAAAAACAGTCAAATGGGTCTCTTGTATTCAATTTACTTAGAACCTGCAGAAAAAATCTTTGTATTTGAGAATATGCTCAATATAAATTCTATATTGAAAAGAATATAGTAAAACCGGTTAATATATCGAATGATTGAAATTTAGTTAGGTACGTAGGTATTTAGTTATTTCTGCCTATATGGCTGTATGATAATTAATATGAAAGATGGCAATTGTATTGAAAAAAAAATGTTCCATGTGACTTTTTACCAGGTGCATGAAAAGTGGATTGCAATCGGAGCGAGTTTTTTTTTCTGGGCTAATCAAAACATTCGCCATGTTGGGGGCCCTTTTTTCCAAATCGTGGACTGGGCTTTTTCGAGCCAGTCCGACACTGAGTACAAAGTAACTATCTCCGTTCGTGCCGTTATACGCACAATTAGAAACGAGATATCAGTATTATTATAATACTATAATTATATTGTTCTGTGTCCGTGCTGCATGGTAATACCTTATTATATACGCGCTCCCGTACGCATACCCTCATCGTCGTCTTCATCCAAGACATCATCTTCATCCACCACATCATCATCACTCTATCGCCATCACTCCAGGATTCGTCCATCGGTGGTACCGTGAGTTGGCTATATGCCATACACTGTTATTTATTATACATTATTGAATTTGTTATTATTATTATTTAAACCATTGTCCAAGCTACTAACATAGTTGTAAGTAGGGCCGTACGAGTATTTATTATTGAGTATTGAAAATATCAATCCAACTTATATATTATATTACAAGCATTGTATTTATTGATTAGCGACAGTTTCTGGTAAAATTAAAATTCATCCGCACACGACGAAATTATTCTCCGTGGTTGATAACCCGGAATAATACGTCAATTACATACTGAACACTTTCCTTGAAAGTCCTCTTTACAATCAGTGATCTCTTTGGCCAACTTTTTTATTGTACTTACACGAGCAACAGGGTATAAACAGTATCTATCATTTACGATCCATTTTTTCGGTACTATATCATAGTATGTTCTTTCATCGATATCAATAATTTTGATAAGTGACCACATTATTGCGTATTATCTGAAACGAAGTTGGATAAAATAAGTTTTGTATAAAAAAATGTATTATTTAGTACACATATAGGTACCATACCTAGGTATATTTTTTCTGTTTTATTCTCTCCCTTAAATAATTCATAAATAAACATAAACAACTTTATACTTAAAATTCATAATACTTAACCTAACTAATAATAATAATAATAATAATAATAGTATTTATTGCAACAATGAAAATTTTATACATTTTAAAAATACTTAAGTTTATATACATTGCGCTTCCCCCTATAAGCCTAGCTTGTGCTGGGGGAGCGGTCTTTATCTTAATTCTTAATAATAAATGAGATTTAAACTATTACATTAAGTAAAATTGCTTATAAAATAAACTGTAACTAAATATAATTAGAGAAAAATAAAAATAAAAAACAATGATAATTATTATGTTAACAAGACGGTATGGATAAAAGAAAAACTATAAATTTAAATTCTGATGTAAAACATGCCATCTGAATGACTTCAAACTAGAAAAATCGTTTACATTAATATTTAATTTTTGACATAGTTTTAGTCCCTTATACAAAACACTTTTTTGACCAAATACTTTATTATAAATGGGTAGACTTATATTAATATTATTACTGTATCTTGTATCATGATCATGATCTAGGAAGGGAATTAAATGTTTATGTTTATAAAGTACAATACGAGTAGATAAATTTAAAATAAAATTAAAATTATTAACTTTTAATTCATTATATATAAATTTAGTATTAGTTTGCATAGATAAATTTAATAAATATTTAATAATGCAATTTATAGTAGTTATTAATCTAGATAAATGAATATTAAATGTTCCTCCCCATATTGAGATACCATACGAATAAATTGACTGTACCAAGGATAAGTAAATTATTCTTTTATATGATTTATTAAAAATATATCTTATATCTTTAAATATGAAAAAGAATTTACGTATAATATTGTTTACATAATTAATATGACTATCCCATTTTAGTCTGTAATCAATAGTTAAGCCAAGATATTTTAATTCTTTTACTTGTTCAAGTATAATGCATTTAGGAGTACATTTATTAATCAAAATTGAATTACATTCTGAAGAATGAACCTTTATAATATTTGTATCTACAATGTTATTATCTTGTGTATTGAAAAAAATATATTTAGATTTCGATAAATTTAATTTTAGTTTGTTTTTGCAAAACCAAGTATTAATATTATCTAGGGTTTTATTTGCTTCAGAATACAAGGTATCTATAGTTCGTTCTGATATTAAAATTGATGTATCATCAGCAAAACTTAATATTTCTGTATTAAAATTTGTTTTTATATTTAGAAGATCATTTATAAAAATTATGAATAATAAAGGGCCTAGTACTGTGCCTTGAGGCACTCCACAGGATATTTTCAAAGTGTCACTATAATGATCATTAAGTTTAACTTTTTGGGTTCTATTGCTTAGAAAGGATTTTAATAAATTATTTGGCAGTCCACGAATACCTGCGTTTTCTAATTTTAATAGTAATAAATTATGATCAACTAACCTAACATAATCATTAAATTTACATCATTCAGCATTAGTTTTAAATTAACAAATATTTTACATGTTCCAAAAGAAATATTCTCATTTATAAACCTAACTCTTATAACCTAATATTAAAAGTACAAAATTTACTTATCCTAATAAATAAACTTTACATTTACAATATGTATTTAATATTAAATTAACATAGATGAATTAAAGGTAAGACAATATATGACTGATTTTTGTATGGAAAATATATATATTTTAAGCAAATTTATGTAACTGGCCACATTTTAAAGGTGGATAAATGTTGAAAGACATAAATTCCAAGTGATGAGCTATTACACGGCACTGAATTGTAATATTCTTGTAATACAATTTTTTTACCAATAATAACTTCAGTTTTTAGTGACTCTGAATAAGCAAAGTTGTGCACCATTATAATATCACCATTCTGTGACCCACAGCAATTGTCAGGTTTTATTATTCCTAATTGAAAGTGTTGAAACATATGCATCTTGTATTGTGGACCACAACAATTTGATAGAAGAGCACCATCACAGTGAATATGTGATACTTTTGGTAATGATGATTGTCGAGGAGTTTCAAAATAATTATCTAATAAAAAACATTCACCTAATCGATTACAGATTTGTTCAGCTGGTTTATTATATCCTCGCACCATAGATTTATTTTTTGCAAATAATTTTCAAATTGAAATGCAGATATTGTTTCTAAAGTAAAATTTGATGTTATTCCTGAATAGTAATCAGAGTCATCTACTATATGAATTAAACCGTGAAAATTATGAGTGATAAAGTCTTTACTATACAGAAGAATAAAGTCTTCAACAAAATGCCGTAGTAATGACCTCGCATAATGACGCATTTCACTATCTTTACATATTATAGGTGACATTAATATAGTCATGGCAAAATGAAGAGTTAGAAAAATCTCATATTTTTTTACTAGTTAGAACAGATTTTAAGACAACTGGTCCTAAATATAGCAAAAATGTTCGAAATTCAGTAGCTTTCCAACGAAGTAAAAGTGTCAGCTCTCTTGGTTTTCTATTAATCTCAATAGGCACACATGAACGATATTCAACTATTAATGATGACAATCTAAGACAGAGTTGTCTAGACAATTTGTGAGGAATATCTCCTGTACTCCATGTTAACAGCATAGTAAGTGTTACTCCTAAATAAACAAGGTGCATTATATATAAAACAATCGAGTTGTTAAAATGCAGTGATGGGATTTTTGTAAGTAACGTTTTAGTTTTTTGAAATTCTGTATCTGACCAATTATGAAAATCCTCATTTGTTCTTAGTACACAATCAAGATCTGTAAATATTCTACGATTGTTACTCGTTTCACCTTTGACAACACATATTGTACATGAGTTGTACCCACTAAATTACTTTATGCCAAGAATGTCTGCCTTTGCAGGAGCATCACAACAGAATCAACAACTTTTACTGGTATTGTTTTTCCACTTTGATGTAAAATACCATTCTGTGATAAATGATTGACTTCATTGACAAATTCTTCTAGGTAACTATTCATATCATGAGGTTTACATTTACCACAGTATTAGCAAATAGGAAACACTTTATTTTGTTGTTAATTTACATCTGATAATACTCCGAATAAAATTGGTAGGACTTGTATGTTTGAACTTTTAAAAATTGGAATACCATCTACATTAATTATCAGTTTGAAACAATCAATTAAATCTTGAAAAGGACCAGATATAATTCTTTTAAGTTGTTTTTCAAGTCCTATATGAATATATTTCCCAGGAAAAACTATTTTTGAACAAAATTTAGTTTTTGAAGTTTTCAATAATGTCCTAGATTCACTTGGTAAAGCAGAGGACAAAACTGGAACTGTTTCTTTCAATCCCTTTAGTAAATCAGATAAACAATTATGAGTTACATTATGTTGAATAGACCACCTTTGAAGAAAATTTTGTAAGGCATGGGGAGATTCTTGAGGTTGATCAGAACTTTCATCCATTAATAATGGAATATCAGAAATTGTGCTTTCAGCCGAAGAACACTCTGAATCTGAAGTTATATTACTCAAAGTGAATTCAACCTCATCACTTATTATTTCATCAGACGATTTGTTGCACTCCTCAGAATGTAAAGCTTCAAAATAAATTGAGGAAACATTAATTGAATTAGAAGATGTTATATTTAAAAGATTTTTGTTAATAGTAAGTTCATTAGACACATCATGGCTTTCTAGTGTCTCATTGAATTTCTGACAATCCTCATTCATACGCCTACGTTGACTTCTTTTGGAGAGGTTCTTAAAATGTTCCCGTTTCCTTGGCATTTCTTTAATGGCATGTATATTCAAATTACCTAAATGGTTTGTCTTATTATAAATAAATTATATATTAAACTAATTCATTTTTAAGAAATTAAGATAATTTTTATTACTTGAACCATTTGATCAAATTATCAAATTGTTCAATTACCTAAACTTACATATTCAACTGTCAAATTATTGATTTAATATTAAACTGTATATTTGAACAAACAGATTTTTAAACTATAAATAAAAAAACTAACTTTTAACTTCTACTCTAATTTAAGTTACTGTTCTAATCAAACTAACTATAAGATAGAAATTTGGAAAATGTCAAAAACTAACTTAAATTCTAATGTACCTACCTATTAGTTTTTTTGTTAAACTAACAATTTTAAAAAAATGACTAACTTGCTCAGCTTTGCATCCATATAATATGAATATTCAGGTAAGTAATGATTGTTAGTATGTATGTATGTACTTAAGTATATGATTTATATTAAACATGGTTGTAGGCACGTTTTTATGGCAGATGAATACTTGCCTTAAGTTTGGCAGGACCTTACAAAGACACAGCATATGCAAGAGGCATGTATTCACAAACAGTTCTTAAATTACAAAAAGTATAAAATATTATTTGGTGTGGACTACTGTATTATTCATTATATTATAATAAAAAACATATACAAAATTTCCTTATTGGGTCGACCACTCAAACAAAGTGTTACACTATCTAATATAACATTTTAAACATACAATATAGTACAAATAATTAAGACTGCCCTGGCTCGAAGCCCTCGCGTACGCTGTACAAGTCAGTAGAGTAGCTGGAGCTCAATCAAGGGAGGGGCTATTTAAAAATTGTAATACACCACAAAATATTGTGAGGAATTCAAAATTTTCCATTTATTTTTTTTAACCGTACATTAATGTATTTAACTGATTATTGTTTACCATTTATTTGCTGTTAAAAAAAAAAAAATGTATGATATTCATATTATACTTAAATCCTAAAGTCATGTAATACTCCTATCTCGGCTAATGCAGCCGAGTCCTTGATTGGTTATAATAAAACAAAATTAAGAAATACATATTGGCATAGATAATAAAGATATGGATAGGCCATGGCTATATTAACACTGTATGAGGTCGCGTTCTTTTTTGTGGGAGAGAGAAAATATTTTTAAGAATGTTCTCTCTCTTGCATGGGGTACTATTTAAGGTTATGTTCAAACTTCAAATAATAATTGCCATTATAATATTTACCATTTTACCCCACATAACCTCAAAATTGATAGTAATACATGAACGCATGGTAAGCTTCAATGGCCTATCCATATCTTTATTATCTATTCATATAGGTACCTATATATATATATTGCTATATAAATATATAAATTGTACAACAAATCGGAAAAAAAAAATATTTACAACAATTTTCATAGTAATATAGATCTATTTTTTACTTTTGAAAATTGATCTGTAATTGATTCAACGTCCACTTCAATATCTCTATGGATATTTAATAAAGAAAAACCAGTTGGTCGTTTCTCACCCATCTTTGCTCTTAACCAAGTTTTTAATCTAAAACAAAGCATCATGCAACAGCATAAAAGCAGAGGTAAAAGCTAAATCAAATGTAAAAAATTTATTTATTTATAACATATTATATAAATAAATATATAATAAATATGCATATTAATTATAAGTAGTGAATATTTTATGAATAATAAGTAATAAGAATAATTAACTACTAAATAAATGTTTAATAACTACCTTAGTAAATAACATAGTCTTAACTGAAGAATATTAAAGCAGTAGTTTATAGTCTGAATTAAAGTCTCTTCATAATGAAACAATCAGTTTATAATAAAATAATATAAAATAATCTTAATTGTAGACGATTTGTATTTGTAATTGTACGACACTTTGGAATTCAGTACTTCGCGTCTTTTTGGTTATCATTTTAGAGAAGTGACTGATGCCCATTGGAGATAACCGCAGACATAACGCGGCTACCTCCACAATAATTTTGATAATATGACAAACGTAGATGGTATTCCGTGGTATAGTGTGATATCAGTGTATTGCTACAACCGTGGTATATTAATTTTTACAAGAATTGGCCGATATCATTATCAATATTTTTTCGTAACGTTGATAAAAGTTTAAAATACGAAATAAATATTAAATATCACTTGTGTAAATATTATATTATTTTATTACCTATATACAGGATATAACCCTGATTAAAACAGCACCAATAAAAATATATTCAAAATGTTTTTTTTAAATCATTACATTCACAACGTTGTAATTAAAAAAAAACATTAAAAAAACATGTTATTGCTCATAGGGATAAGCCGGGTTTTTACACGTAGAGCCCGTGGAGGTATTATTGCGTATATAATATCGCGTCATTAGCCGCGACGTTGGCGTTGTCGTTTTTTTATGATTAAAGTAATACTTCAGTCGTAATAAACCCATATCTTCCCACACCACTTTTCGTACATACACACGTAGGACGTAGTTCTTATATAAATATATAAACAGGATAATAAATAATAAGGATATAAATATTTTTTTAATAACATTAGTATTATTCTATTACGATTAATGATAATTTTATTATCATACGGATTCATTTTTTTGTATATGATTTTGATTTTGAAGTAAGTATACCTAATTATTTTATTTAAAAAATAATCTTTATATTTAACATAATATCTAGGTACTTTATTATGGCTTACTAAATTATTATTTTTTTTAGTGGGGATCGGGACATCGGTTACCAAACAAAGTACATTTTAAGGTCACCATAATAAAAATGTTGGGGAAAGCTGCTGTATACTATAATAGTGTAAATATCCGGTACCCACTATGTTATATTATAATATTAAGATATACAATCTCATAGAACAATTATATTTGTATAAAAACCAATATAAATATTAAAAATAAATAGCATCCAGCCAAAAAAAATTATTTTAAAAAACAAATCGTTCATACCTATTTTTAATTTTATAATTTATTGTTTTACATAATAAATACTTTTATTCATTTTGTATATTATGATTTATCAAATGAGGTTTTAATTTTATTTCGAATTATTGTACTATTTGGTTAAATATTTATGTACAATAGTACGATGTAGATACATACAATTTTGAAGGCCCGCAACAACTTCCGGAATTCCTGATGTGATCCTACAAAAATATCGATTGGGAAGAGTGCAACTACCATACGTATTACTGTCATAGATAGACAGATAGTATTATAAATATATTGTGTATGTATATTGTATTATTTTTGTTACTTTAAGTGCAAAATCACGAAATACGCCGAGAAGTGAAAAAGGCCGATTTTTTAGAGTCGATGACTGGGATTATGATTATGATTATTAATAGTTCAGTGATTTAACAAATTCCATCATATACGTAACACACAGGAATATTGACTTCATAATATTGACCGAGGCAGTTTTATAGCGTCAAAAACGTTTTACGATGGTCAAAAAAATATATACATCGAATGAAAGTCGTATCGGTGTAATTATTTCTGCTTTACTACCGGTAGTATAGGTACTACATACATAAATATTTATACCATAATACCTATTACCTACACCATACTAAACTATACTTACACCATACCTATTACCTTTACTTTATTACCTACACCATTATAAGTATTATGAGTTAATTTACGTTGTCCGATTTTTATTCTGAAAAACCCGAACTCGCCAGAAAATTGTCTATAGATCGTACGGAACGCTTTGTAAACATTAAATCTTATATTATTATAAACTGTAATTGATTAAAAATTGCCTAAATGTTGCCCATCAAATAATAGCCGTAGCGGGGATCCTTAACGAAATTAATATTATATAATATCATTTAGTTACCAAAATAAATGTATTAATAGACGCGTGGTATACAGTTCTTACATCACTGTACCCTATACTAAAGTTCGACAGACGACTGTTTCTTAGCATAGGTATATAATGTAATCGGTCGACTTCTATTGTTATTATTATATGAATATAGATATAAAAATTACATGTAAACATTTTTTTACCGATTTCAACCCTTTAAATTCAAAATTTCAAAAAAATCGAAGATTAGCGGATGCCTACGCCATAATAGCTATATGTATGCCAAATTTCAGTCCAATCCGTCCAATGGTTTGAGCTGTGCGTTGATAGCAGTCAATCAGCTTACTGTTTTATATATACAGATATTGGACAAATAAAACAAAGAACAAAAACCCAGCTTCAAAAATTAAAATTACCAAAAAGAATTCGAAAAATTAGATGGTTCTGTTTTAGTAAAAAAGGTTGAGTCCAAAATTGCACAAAACCAAATTATAATAATTAAAGAAAGGTTTCATGTTTGCATCGTCTAATAGAAGAAATCCAAAAGGAAATCGCTACACTGGAGGTTGGATCATGCCGTGTATGTTATTGCATATAGTATATACGATCACCAGCAGGTTGTGCATTTTTAAAAAATAATCAATTGTTACCATTGCCTTGTGTCAAACCTATAAGAAAATATTTAGCACAAATTCCCACTACATGTGGATTTGATAAAAGTTTTTTTGAATTGTTTAAGAAACATTTGTCTGCTAAAAATAATTTCCAAAAACATGGACTTCTCATCTTTGATGAAATATCATTGAGGGAAAGCATTTCTGTCAATTCGAAGACATTGAGTTATACAGGTTTAATCGATTTTGGCGAAGACAATGAAGAATTGGATTATCTTCCAAAAGAAATAGACATCAATTCAAAAGCTACTCATGGATTGGTCTTCATGTTCAAACTGCTTGCTGATTCGTATACGCAACCAATTGGAGTATTTGCATCGAGAGGACCTGTAAATGGATTGACAATTGTAAAATTAATAATTAAAGCAGTTTTATTGTTAGATAAGTCGGGTGCTTATGTTCATGGTTTTGTATCGGATGGAGCTCAAACAAACAAACGTGTATGGACAGAACTTGGTATTAGCGGAAAATTAAATTCCACTTCTTTTTGCACAGAACACTTTGTTGATGAAAACAGAAAATTCTATGCTTTTTCAGACACTCCACATTTAATCAAATGTGTGAGAAATAGATTATACAACAACAAAAAACTGAAAGTACCTATGCCAAAATCATTCATATTTTAATAGTATTAAATAATTAATTTTGTGTAATAAATATAAAAATTTCAGATTAATCCAAATGAAAATTATGTTAAGTGGGAGTATTTTGTGACTTAACATGAAGAAGACAAAAAAAATTGTAACAGCCAATTAAGGGTTTACCTGAAAATTACAGCTAATCATATCAGTTTAAATAACTCTTTTTTAAAAATGAGAGTTAGCTTAGCTACACAAGTTAGAAAATTACCTTCACAATTTCTTTTTAAAGTTATCATCTAATATTTACAATAACATTATATTTTAGATTCTTAACAAATCAGAAGCTGATGGTTTATCATTTTACAGCAAACATAAAATTCCAGAAATGCAAAATTGTGATGCAACAATCAATTTTTCTCTTGTTTTTAATGTTATGTTTGACGCCCTCAATGCTAAAATTCCTTGTCAGGGAGTTCATCTAAATTCAAAAAATTACGAGGTTGATTTGAAATGTTGAGTTTTTATTGGATATTTGCCTGGCTTTTTGTGTGATTTTGTATGATTTATTATGTACCTTTTAAATGTTTTTTTTTGTTTTTAGTTAAGTGGAATAACTATAATACGTGTTTTGAGCATCAATGTGAACTATATAATGTAATGTGTAATAATTATTTAAAATTCAATCTTAGGTGACATATTGTGATTTAATTAAAAAGTATATATGTTTGTATCCTAGATACTTCAACGTTCTTTAAAATGGTTAGATAGCTGGGAATCTAATGTCATATCTGAAAACATTTCTGAAAGTGAATTTTTAACTAAAAGCACGGCAGAAGTTTTGAGAGTTACCATAAATTCATGTATAGAATTGGTAAATTACATGAAAGAAAAATATGATTTTGACTAAATTCTCACAGGGAAAATCAACCAAGACGCCCTTGAAGTAAATATCATTAAAATTTTGTGATTCAAGATTAAATACTTTTATAATTAATAAATTTACATTGTTGTTCCTTTTTTAAGCGATTTTTTGGTACCGTGAGGATGGCTTCTGGAGCAAACGATCATCCCTCTACACCTACATTTTTGCAAGTGTACAAGCTTCTTACAGTATATGTCATTTTGAAACCACCTAAGTACGGAAATTGTACTGTAGAAAAAACAGATATTAGTAATAATTTAATAAAAATATCAGACATACAAAATATTTATACCAGTTCAGAAACTTCCTCATTGGAAAAGCTACAAAAGAAACTCGATGGCTTTGTAAATCAAGGCGAATGGGAATTTTCTGACATCGTTGAACATGATTATTCAATTGCACCTATTATTGACTGTTTAAAGTACTATGTGGCAGGCTACTTAAGTCATCAAATAACTAAAAGATCAAGTTGCATAAAATGTAAATCAGCATTTACTGTGATATCAAATTTTAAACCAGAAACTGATCTTACAAATATTAAAAGCAGAGGATGGTTAAAACACCCAAACCCATATTTGTACAGCTTAATAAGTGCAATTGAAGATGAATTCATGAAACATGTAAATAGCAATACAGTTTTTTATGATATTATTGATGGTTTGATTACTCAGTATGGTTCTTTCACATTTCCATGTACTGAACATAAATATTATGTAATATCGTTTACAATAAAATATTATATTAATATGCGTTTAAGACAGTATACAAGGCAATCCAATCAAGAAAAAGTAAAGGAAAATGCTAAAAAAAAAAATATCCAAATTTTGTACCACTTAGTCTTTAGAAGTTTTAAACTATAATAATAAATTAAAATATACTATGTTTCCACATTAGTTTTTTTTTTATGAATTACAAACTTTGACAAGTAGAGCTCGCCACCTGGCCGGGTCCCGGACATTAACGGCACATTTATTATCGTGTTAAATGACTTGAGTTGCATGGGGCTGTGTGATGGTAATTAATAGTGATAACTTATAATAGTTGGTAGTATATTAATATAATACACTATCAGAAGTTGTGGTTTGAGGGTAAGTTAAACGTCCGGACGTATTACCATAGAACGTATTACAAATTTTTATATCAACTATAATATTATGTATTCTAATATTATTGTTTGCGCTGCAGTACCAATTGCATAACAAAATGTACCATTAGCAGTTGCGCGTGCCGTACCATAGAACAGTATAGAAGCGAAACTCGATTAGCTGATTGGGGTATTGGTTCCCTATGATCTGAAGTCTGAACCTACGAAAAACATGGAATTGGTTAGGTAACATGATGTTACACCCGTATATTATAAAATTGGTTCCAAGACTAAGGCGGGATACGGGACGCGGGGTTTTCACGTATGTCACGCCCTCCTGAAGACCGTGTTCAAGGCCGCAATCGCCTGGTTCGGCCAACGCACGGAGTTTCGTAACACTGGCCGTATGGCGCTACTATCAATTATCGTCCGCCGCCCGCTGATAAGGCGGTTGCGTTTCCCATATCACAAATTATGTAACAGTTATCACTCTCAGTTTTTTCAGTTATGTTTAAAATGTTTTTCACAAGTATCAAAGTCCGTACCTCAGTGTCATCAAAAATATCCTTGTGTCAAGCTTTTCTCCGTTTTCTCGGGTGACACTGAAGTATCGTTTCATACATCATCTCAGTTGCAAATAAAGGGATGCGTGCTTCCACTCAGTTTTTATGTTCGATCTCTTTGCTTTGTGTCGTCAAGCTATCAACATCTCTAAGCATCATAACATTTCTCATCACGTTTATTGCATTATTTTACACCTTCAATGACCACATGGTTGAAAACATTCCAATTACATTCAAATTGTACTTTATGTGCAATTATTACAGAATACTGTAAGTATCGTTCACAAACATTTCAATAGCCATTGCTAATATCATTGCCCCTTTTTAGGATTATCCATTACTCAAAACGGTTGAGAATTGACTCTTGTTCATGTGTGCTGTGAATTATGTGTTGTATTGTGTTCAACGGTGTGCGGTTAGCGGTTGAGCTGTGAGTGTGCTGGATCACCTCTGTTGTTTTTGTTATATTATTGCCATTTTACTACAGATCCAGGCATTCCAGTTCACCATAACCTCACAAAGGTTGGTGGTGCCCCACAACGTTATTATATAGCCAAATAGGCAAATAAGGTCCTTCATTATTACATCAAATATTATTGAATTATTATTATTGTTGTTATATTGTCAATTGGGGCACTGTTAAAAGAAAATATATCAATTGTTTTTTTTTAAATTATATCATTTTTACCATTATTATAAGTATATTATTTAACCTATGTCATGTCGCTTTAGGGCATTTATTATTTTGTACACATTCATAACTATTGTTATTTATACTGCCTAACAAGCGACCGATGATATCACACATTTATACCTTATATTATTACTGTTGTTTAATTGCAATGCAAATATAAAATAAATATCTGCCATATGTACCAAATTATACAGTCCACTATAACTTATTATTACCACTTTAATTTCCTCGCTTAAGGCATCGCTGACTACTATCGAACAGCAGCTGGCAAGCGCAACCAATTATTATTATATCTGTGGTTATGACTTGTGAATATTCGCCTCGTTATGATGTTTAATTTTAGGTGTCACATACTCTGATTCTAATTTTATTAGTAAAAAAAAAAATTATTTACCTGAAAATTTACTAAGCTTACAGTTACATCTATAGATTTATTCATGATTATAATTTTATTTAATTTGCCTTATTATGTGTTGTGTTGCTTGTTTGTATGTAAATGTGTAATGACATAGCCTATGGGTACACATAATGTACAAGACAAATCAAATCCTGGATTATTTTTCTATACTTTCTCTAAACAATAAACATGTGTAAACATTTGTAGTTACGTTTTAGAAGTATCATAACTCTTGTCTCATATTTAAGATTATTGATATATTAAATTATTTTATACTTATGTTATTTATTTAGATATAGTAAATGGCAACATTATGTCATTGATGGAGAATATACAAGTATAACAAATAATTTGTCCTGAATTATTCCTGCTGATGTTATACTCTGTGGATTTTAGTCCAAATTTTAACATCTCAAATTGGTTTTACTTAACCGTGGAGCTATTTCAAATAAATTTGACCGGATTAGAATTAATTGTAATCGAACAATGAACTATTAAAAGTTTACAGATTTTAATAATTATAATATTTATCACATTTCATGCAATTAACAGTGGATTGATACATCAGTTTAATTAAAAGTACAGTACCTAAATACAGAATCTTATGAGAGTTTTGTATCACAAAATACACCGAGTAATGAAGACTTTTTCAAAGATTTAGAATTATAAAATATTAACAATATGAATAAATAAACATTTTGCACCATTAATGGAATATCTGTAAAAAACACATCAATTTAACTCGTTAAAAAATTATAAGCACAACATCAGTAGTTTTTTGATAGTATTTATCTTAAATGTATTTAATATTTTTATGTGTGTATATAAAATGTATTATTAATTTTTTTAAGTATCATTATAAGATGTATCATGATATGCATAATGTTTACAGAGTATTATGATTTATGAATAAATAGATTTAAATTTAATATATTTATTAGTTGTATACTAATTGGAAATGTATTAGGATAAATTGCCAACAGTGTATTATCAAAATTCAAAGTGTTAGACAATTATTTATTGTATTTGAATATTATAATATATAATGTTATACATTTGATAATGTAACAAATTATATTAAACTATTTAAATCATTGGTATAATTTTATGAAGGATTGACAAAAAATAAATACAAATGAGATCAATGGTTAATTTCTAATAATAAACAATTTAGTAGGAATAATAATAAAATCTGCATCTCTACTTATTTATATAAAAAAGAGAAAACAATTATTATAAGGTAAGCGCCCTCACACTTTTATCCAGGCTTGAGACTGGCAACTCATACATAATAATAATAATAATAATAATATTATGTAGTTAATTTGTTGGTGGTTTACACGTTAATTTTTCAATGCTTTGTAATGAAAAATCGAAACGTTTTTGGTTGTGTTTTTTGTTGTATTTTTATTGAACGTTTGTTTTCATACGTGATTATTATATAAAACTGATTAACGAGTGTGAAGTTGGGTGACCAAAGCTAGGTGACCAATTTTTGGTGATAAGAAAACTTGTATGCACGGTTGCATTACGGTATTTTCTAGGCGCACAACGTTTATATTGCCATTTGTATGTTCTACTTCTATTTCTAACCGCAAGATAGCAGTATAGGATTTGTCACGAAATATTATAAGGTCACCTACCCTTTATAGTATTATAAAATGACTAATGAGTGCACGCCCCGCATGGGGTACCTTAATTGGTAACGGGCATGACAAACCCGCGGATCCCAGTCATTGGCGTAGGGAAAGTTGCGCCCCCATCGCCCAATACACTGCAAAGTGTATTGCAATAGCACCACGCTGACTTTAAGTAGTCGGCGCGGAACGGCCCTCCAATCTTGGGGGTTGAGCTTCGGGCCAACAACCCGTTCTCGCAAAAAACAATCAGTTAAGAAACCATCAAAAAAGCCTCGGAACTGGATTGAAAATGGCAAACAACTGGAATCGGAAAATGGGCTACGTATAGGAACTTGGAACGTCAGAACACTAAACAAATCTGGAGCATTGCAATATGTACTTGACGCGTATAATAACTATACAATTGACATATTAGCAATACAAGAGATAAGGTGGCCAAATAGTGGAAACCTAAAGAAAGACAATATAACATTATTTTACAGTGGCACTACTAATGGAAGACATGAAAATGGAGTAGGTTTTATGGTACACGACAAGATACTACCAAATGTTAAGACCTTTTCAGCCTTTAATGATAGAATTTGCTATATACGTATAGCGGGAAGGATATTTGACTTAATTATCATAAACTGCTATGCCCCAACAGAGGAAAAAGATGAAGACATAAAGGACAAATTCTATGAAGAACTAGAAAGGGTATATGACACTTTACCGTTGCACTGTATAAAGATAGTAGTAGGTGATATGAACGCGAAGGCTGGAAGAGAACATATATATAGACCGGTCATAGGACCTAACAGCTTACACGAAATTAGTAACGGAAATGGAACCAGACTGATAAATTTTGCACATTCAAAAAATTGTATAATAAGCAGTACATATTTCCCCAGAAAAAATATACACAAAGTCACTTGGAAATCCCCTGATGGAAGAACATCTAATCAAATTGACCACATACTTATCGACAGGAGATTTAGGGGATGCATAAGAAATGTAAGAACGTATAGAGGAGCTGACGCAGACTCAGACCACTACCTAGTGTATGCGAAATTTAACCTGAGACTGGCAACAAAATGGAACTTGGAAAAAAGGAAACCTACAATAAAGTACGACATTCAAAAATTAAATGATATTGAAATAAAGCATAATTATATTGAGAGAATTACACACGAATTACAAAATAATAATATAAATCAAATAAGACATAGTACAGAAATTGATACGATTTGGAACAGAACAAAGGGAGCGGTGGTTAATAGTGCAACGGAAATTCTAGGAATGAAACCAAAAGAAAAGAATAAAAACTGGTTCAACGATTTATGTAAGAATGCAGTTATCAGAAGAAACGAATTGAGGAAAAAAGCACTACAAAGTGCATCAGATGAGTGCATAAGAGAATATGAAGAACAAAGAAAATTGACAAATAAAGTGTTAAGGAGAGAGAAACGTCTAAACGAAAAGAAGAAAATAGAAGAAATAGAA